TTCTGATATTACCCTTCGTTCATAAAGTAGCATTTGTGGGATCCTGGCAGGTCTGTTTCTGACCTGGCCTACCTCAAAGGGTTGACCTGTGGGGACTTTCGGCTGTTCGTCATCCCCTTCTACTGGAACTTTAGAAGTTTAACCAGGAAGATCACCTGGTGAAATAAACACACACACGTCTCTGGTCTCTTCTGTGTGAGTCAAGGATCTCCAGAGGTCTCACTGTCTCCACCATGCATTTTCCTCCATCTGCTTTATTTGGGGTTCTCTGCTCCAAGAAATGATTTGCACTTGGGGAAGTCCAAGACCGGAGACGGCATTATTCACTGATACCATGTAGGCAAATGAGCTGAATATGTCACATTAAAAGGTTATGAGATTTGTTTCTCGTGGCTCCCAAATATATTTTCTCTCTCTGTCTACAGGATCCATCCACCCCACCCAGCCCGGTCTGGCTCCATTTTTCTGTCTGCTTATGTTGCAAAACCTTTTGTCACCCCCCGCCCCACCCCACCCACCCCCTCACCCACCCCCTCACCCTGCAGGACAAGCTGAATCACCTGCCAGAGATAAACCTAGCAAAACAAAAGCTTCTTCAGAAAGTGCTAGATCGTCCCTTCCCAAATCAAAACCGGAGAAGTAGCAGCATTAGGAACAGCTGCAACTCAGCTGGCATTACAAGAAATAAAGTCAAAGCCATTTCAAAGGGACACCTTTGCTCGGGGAACAAGTCCCAACCAGGAGGCCAAGCTTTGAGTCTTGCTTGGCCTTGGGAGAGTTCTCCCCCCCTTGTGGGTGCTGGCGCTCAGGTCTTTAGCAGCCCTCCTCCTTGGCTTCGAAGGAGATGGATTTCGCCAAGGAGGCATTTTCCATGCCAGGGGAAAAAGTCATGCCGGTGCCAACGAAGAAAGGCCTGGCAATATGAGCAAGGAAAATGAGAGGCTGCATGGGAAAACATGGCTGAGCCCATCTCATGATGTCCCCCGTGTGAGCTGGTAAGCTGGGAGCTTCTTGAGAATATTGTGGACCAGTGTTTCTCAACCCTGGCCACTTTAAGATGAGTGGACTTCAACTCCCAGAATTCCCCAGCCAGCCTGGCTGGCTA